CACAGACTGCACACAAACACTACACACACTACACACAGACTGCACACAAACACTACACAAACACTACACAGACTGCACACAAACACTACACACACTACACACAGACTGCACACAAACACTACACACACACTACACAGACTGCACACAAACACTACACACACTACACACAGACTGCACACAAACACTACACACACACTACACAGACTGCACACAAACACTACACACACTACACACAGACTGCACACAAACACTACACACACACTACACAGACTGCACACAAACACTACACACACTACACACAGACTGCACACAAACACTACACACACACTACACAGACTGCACACAAACACTACACACACTACACACAGACTGCACACAAACACTACACACACACTACACAAACTGCACACATAAACACTACACAGACTGCACACAAACACTACAAACACTGCACAAACTGCACACATAAACACTACACAGACTGCACACATAAACACTACACAGACTGCACACATAAACACTACACAGACTGCACACAAAAACTACACACAGACTGCACACAAAAACTACACACAGACTGCACACAAAAACTACACACACTACACAGATTGCACATAAACACTACATACAAAACCTGCACACACACTGCACACAAAACTACACACAGACCGTACACAAAAACTACACACAGACTGCACATACACACTACGCACTGCACACAAACACTACACACAGACTGCACACAAAACCTACACATAGACTTCACAAAAACACTGCATAAACACTACACACAGACTGCACACAAACACTACACACATACTGCACACAAAACTACTTACAGACTGCACACAAACACTACATACACACTGCACACACACCTGGACTGGGTTACAAACAAGGAGAAATAACAAGAATAAGAGTGCAGGATGTTGCATGTTGTCGTAGAGCAAACATGGTTGTTATCTGTGTGTGTGTCTGTTAACAACACATCTCCTGACTCCTGAGCTGACCGAGTTCAGAATCAGTCTCTTACTGTGGGACCTGCAGCTCGATGTAGTTCTTTGGTATGAAGCCTTCCTGTCCGTTAATCTCAGCTTTACACCAGTCTTCCTCGAAGCCCAACACCTGAGCAGAACCAGAAACAGGAAGTGATGAAGGCTCAGGCCGTGGGTGTAAACAGCTCAGAGGAGCGTCCCGCCGGCAGCTCACCTTCAGGATGTCGCCCTTTCTGAAGCTGAGCTCGTCGTCAGCGCTGGCTGTGAACTCGTACTTCCCTCTGGCCTCCATCAGGAGCAGCTGTGTCACTTCAGAGGAGGAGGAGGAGGAGGAGGAGGAGGGAGAAGATGAAGATCACAAGTGTTGCTCTGCAGGGAGGAAGAGGAGAAAACAGTTTAAATGTTTGGATCTCTGTTTGGTTTCAGTCTGTGGGGAGAAAAAAACAAACATTTAAACTTTCAAAACCTATGAGAATAAAACTCCTTTCAGACTGAAACYGTTTTGTTTGTTAAAGTGAATAAACTGAGTAAAATGTTCCTCAGAAAGCTTTCTCTCAGACCTCAGTGTCTTCACGGAGAGGGGAAAACAAAATCAGCAGTTCATTTATTTCCAGTATCCAGTATTTTTTTATTTGGTTTATCATTGTTTAAAACATTTTTTAATTAAAAAAGGGGCAGATATCATAAGAATGTTTTTCTTCTTCTGCTGCCTTTCATTATATTTTATTTGTGTTGTTTTGTTGTGTGTAATGTTTTGTTTGTTTTTTGATTAAATGAATAAATATCTATCTATCTATCTATCTATCTATCTATCTATCTATCTATCTATCTATCTATCTATCTAT